ATTCCTGCCCTGGACCTTCGAGCAGGCTGTTGATTACCGAGGCAGCTACACCGACCCGCCCCCCCCCCCCTCCAGTAATTTCTTTTTTGATGCATGCTGTTAGGTAGAGACGGGGTTGTTCACCCTGAATGCTTGACCTCAGGTGATTCGCTGCTCGGCTCCCAATGCTTGGATTAAGGGTGAGTATCTGACACCGGCCGATGCAAGCTGGATTTTTAAGGTCTGTTTCTTTCCCAATGTAGGGTATAGGTTGGGACAGGGAAGAGGGCTAGAAACCTGACTCCAACTCCCTGCCCAGGGCTGAACTCTCCAGCATCCCGATCACTTCTTATTCAGCCTTGCTTGTACTCCCCCTGTGATGGGGGGCTCATTACCTCACAACAGAATATTCTAAGCCAACGCCTGCCCCCTCTCACCAAGTAAGATTTCCCATTTGAACCCCAGCTCCCAGACACTTAAAAGCCTTCTGTGGACCACGTTCTCAAGGTCCCCTGGCCATCTGCTTGCATGTTCCAGTTTCTCTCCTTCCCCATCCACATAATGAAATGTGCCCTCCCTCTCTCCAGGATGAGCAAGGTGGTGTCCTCTGAGACTGGGCAGTCAGCCACTTAACACCAAAGGCCACCAATGATCAAATCCACGAGAGTTGATTCGAAGACTTATGTATTAGGACTGAGAAACAGTAAACACTCAGTAAATAGTGGTTATTCTTATCATCAGCATCATAATTACTACCTTCAAGTTCCTCCAGGAGAACTCCTATTCAACCTTCAAAACCCCATGTGGTTTCACCCATCTTGCAGAGATTGAGCTCCAATTCCGAGAGTTGTGATTTTGTGATCATTTGATGAGTTCCCAAACTGGGGTCCTTAGAGCAGCTGGCCCATCCCTAAGGTCTCTCAGCATCCAGTTCTGTTCTTTTTCTGCCTTACCAGTTCCTGTGTATAAGCCTCAGTCCTGGTGAGTCCAGCTGAGGAGTGTACAGACACACTCAGTGTCAATTCAAATCTATCGCCAGCCCACACGGCCCTGGGCATCAGAGGTCAATGCCCGCACATAGGATTGCTTGGCCTTGCACTCAGATAACCAGTGCCTTTGGTCCATACCCTGGCAGCCCCCTCCACCTGTCCCCGGGTCACCTTCCTCAGAGTTATGGGCCTCAAAGCGGGTGACAAAGAAGTACTGGCAGAGGGAATTGCCCCCTGCTATAGGCACCTTCCCGAACACCTCCATCTCGAAACCACCCAAGTCCACAGCGGTCCCGGGGTCTGTCACCCAGCCGCTGACTGCATCGCACACGGCCAGTTCACTCTGATGACTCGCCAGTGCAGTTTCACCTGCCCCACACTGGCTGTGGTTGGCCGGGGTGCCTGCTAACTCCTGAAAGGCCCCAGTCTCCAGCAGGAAGACCAGAGGGGGCTCAAGAGCAGCACCCCTAGACAGGACCACTTGGGGGAAAAGAAGGTCCCACTTTGGGGCAAGAAAAGGAGACAATGTCCAGGATGGGGATTAGGAATCCATTGACACACTGGGGAGGAGGAAAATGAGGGGGATGCGGAGGGAGTCTGGGGGAGGGGGAGCAGCTCTCACAGCACATGGAGACAGAGTAAGGGAGGCTGGGATTAGAGAAGAGGATAAAAACTTCAGTGGGGACAGAAGTTGGGAACCCCAGGGGAGGCTTGCCTGCCAGGATTGTGGGGCAGCCCTTGTTGTAGAAGTTTGGGGGACTCCATATATCGGACTTGCATAACACCCAACTTGTAGATTAATAGTAATTATTCAACTACTACAAGTCAGGCACTGTGCCTCACACCTGTAATCCCAGCACTTTGGGAGGCTGAGGTGGGCGGATCACTTGAGGTCAGGAGTTTAAGAGCAGCCTGGCCAACATGGTGAAACCCCATCTCTACTAATAATACCAAAATTAGCTGGGTGTGGTGCTACGCACCTGTAATCCCAGCTTCTCGGGAGGCTGAGGCAGGAGAATCGCTTGAACCTGGGAGGCGGAGATGGCAGTGAGCCGAGATCGTGCCACGGCCCTCCCACCTGGACAACAGAGTGACACTCTGTCCAAAAATAAAAATAAGGCTGGGCGTGGTGGCTCATGCGTGTAATCCCAGCATTGTTGGAAGCTGAGGTGGGCAGATCAACTGAGGTGAGGTGTTCCAGGCCACCCTGACCAACATGGAGAAACCCCATGTCTACTAAAAATACAAAATATGCCCAGTAGTGGTGGTGCATACCTATAATCCCAGCTACTTGGGAGGTTGAGGCAGGAGAATCACTTGAACCCAGGAGGCGGAAGTCGCAGTGAGCCAAGATCGTGCCACTGGACTCCAGCCTGGGCAAAAAGAACGAAGCTCCATCTCAAAAGAATAATAAGAATCAAATAAAAATAAAAAATATTCAACTACTGTTACTTAATAGCAACAGATCGTGAAATACAGGCTCAGAGAAATTAATGATTTGTGTCCGGTCACACAGTCAACAAATGTAAGAGATGGGACTTAAAGTCTGGGTAACTGCATTCTGCCATCCTTCCTGTACAACCCTGAGGAACCGTGAGTCTTGCATCTTGGGGGATGTTCCAATCAATTATTATTATTAGTTTTTGAGACAGAGTCTCACTCTGTTGGCCAGGCTGGAATGCAGTGGCACAACCCTGGCTCACTGCAACATCTGCCTCCTGGGTTGAAGTGATTCTCCTGCCTCAGCCTTCTGAATAGCTGGGATTACAAACACCTGCCACCATGCCCAGCTAATTTTTATATTTTTAGTAGAGATGGGGTTTCACCATGTTGTCCAGACTGGTCCCAAACTCCCAACCTCAAGCTATACCCCTCCCTTGGCCTCCCAAACGGCTGGGATTACAGGTGTGAGCCACTACGCCCGGCCCGAAACAAATTGTTTTAAGACCAGGTCTCGCTATATTTCCCCGCTGCACTTGAACCGCTGGGCTCAAGCAATCCTCCTGCTGTGGCTCCTGAGTAGCTGGGACTACAGACTCAAGCCACCACGCCTGGCCACATTCCACAATTTGGAGAAAGGCCACAACCTGGAATCCTAGGGAGACCCCAGTTCACCTCAAAACTGCCACTAAGGAGGTAAAACGCTGCCCCTCTGAGACAGGTGTCAGTTTTCCCGTGTGTGAAATTGACCTGGCGCTGGGAGAGGCTGGTGGAGGCGTGGATGTTGCAGTTTCTCTACAACATTCTGGAAGCCTGCGGTTCTAGGAAAGGGTGGCCTGGAGAAGACTGGAAAACAGCCAATGGTTACCAGACCTGTCAGCACCTCTTCCACCTCGGAGCTCTGGGGCTGGGAGTCCCCAGGCTTTGGGGGGCCCCTGTGGAGGACATCGCTGTCTCCTTCCTGACATACCAGGAGAGGGAGGGGGCAACCACCTAGGGGAAGAAAAGATCAGGCAGGGTATACAGGCAGGTGGGGAAGGGGGACAAATCGCTCAAAAAGTGCAGGGTACTGAAGAGTCAAGGCGCCGCCCCCTTTCCAGAGGCCCCTTTTCTACCCAGGTGATGGCTCCTGACTGGGATTGGAAGATGATGGAGGGAGGGGAGGGGAGGGGAGAGGAGGGGAAGGGAGAGGCAGTGGATGAAGGAGAATGGAAGAGATGACATCCACCTCACACCATTCATCCCATTCAGGTCCCCACCCCCCAGCTGTACTGCCTGTGCCACCCTCAGAGGGAGGAAGAGGGAGCTTGGCCTTGAAGGCTCAGGCCCTGCCCCCTGGAGGCACAATGACCATGTGACCTTCCTTCTCCCCACAGAAGGTGAGACCATGGACACCTCCTGAGCTGGATGTCATCCCCTGTCCCCACCCTGTTTTCTTTTTGTTGTTGTTGAGATGGAGTCTCACTCTGTGGACCAAGCTGGATTGCAGTGGCACCATCTCGGCTCACTGCATACTCCCCCTCCCAGGTTCACACCATTCTCCTGCCTCAGCCTCCCAAGTACCTGGGACTACAGGCACCTGCCACCACTCCCGCCTA